CCGAATTTATTCATAACAGATTTGAAATCCCGAAAATAGGACTTGCGGAAACAAGCACCGTTATCTAGAACATACTTTGACGATACCGACAGCACTCGAATGTACGGTTCACCTTGGGTCCTGATTGGTGGGAGACCTTGGGATTTATTGACATAAACATTGTCGAAAAGGTGGACAGCTCCTGTTAAATATATATATATATATATATATATATATAATATCAACTTTTGGAAACACAGCTCTTTCAGAGCCAGTCCACTGAAGAATCAATTCTACTGATTATGAAATATACATAACCATACGATAGGTGTTATCTTGACGTGTGATCGATCAAACTGTGCGCTCTTGATTTAATCGGAATTTCTCTGCGAAATCTCGTCGTACATCATTGAGTCTACGTTCATTCGAACCAATTTTGTGAACTCTATCTTGTGATATCATTCCATTGGAAATAAATCACACATATCTGTCCATTGAGCAGTTTTTTCTGTTATCATCGAAGCTTTGAGATTTACTCACACGTGCAAAATTGTGCAATTTTATTTGCTGTGTCAACATTTGGATATCGCGCGATAGGAAATTCAACAATTTTTCCAACGAGCCTTGATTGAGTTTTATAAGTTCAATTTCAAGCATTCTACGGATCTATTTTTGCAGTTCAGTGCATTTGTATCTACCACTCGCAGTCGCACTTGTACCTGTTCCACTGCGGCCAGAAAAGCTGATCGATATTCTCCAAGTGACACTGGCAAAAAACTCTCTAACCCCCGTAACGCCGGCCACTGCTGTGAAACTGGTTCCTTTGTACGCAGATGTCATTTCCACTCCACTTAGAAGAGCAGCTCCAGCAGCTACACCACAGCAGAAGCACATGAAATAAAGGGCAGGGATATCGTCTGCTGCATCGCCCTCACGGACAGACTCGACTCCTTCGTCCACGGCATCCAGGCACGATGCGTGTAACATATCACGGACAGTTGAGAGATGCCCCCGCGATTTGCAGGAACCTATGCAGCAGACGAAGCTCCCTCCGCGATCTCAGTGCCTTATTGTTGTCAATCTTCCGGAGGCCGAGGCCACCACTGCCCAGGCTTGCCTGGACCACGACCTGCAGCTGCTGAGGTCGCACGTGGTTACCTTCTTTGATGGTGACGAGGTGGAACCAGCGGCATCGATCAGAGTGAAAGCGGCATTCAGGGTTATCCCACAATCCCGATCTTTTTGGAATCACTGAGACCCGGCTGACACGGGACGTCCGGGACTCCGAAATATCACTCCACGGGTACACAGTGTTTCGAACGGATCGATCATCGTCACGTTGCGGTGGTGGAGTTGTTCTTTTTGTCCGCTCGGGACTCCCTGTTCGAGTGCTGGAGAATTACGCCCATCCGGAAGGACTTGGAAAAGCCTTGTGGTGAAGAATCAAGCTTTCTGGAGGAGGGTATACCACAGTTGGAGTGATTTACCGCACACCACCTGTGTACGTCCTAGAGCTGCATACAGAGGTACGCCTGCGATGGACATTGTCTTGTCTTGGGTGATTTCAATGCGTACCATGTTGATTGGGAAACTGACATCTGCTCTCAGCATGCAGATTTGTTCTCCAGAGAACTTCTTTTCGCTGTCCGGGTCCTGTCCCTTGTTCAGCATGTTCATGTGCCCACGCGGATAGTTGGGGATCAAAGATTCATCCTTGACCTGGTATTTTCGCCGAGGCAATCAGATACGACTAGGATTGACCTGCTTCCACCAATTGCATCTAGTGATCACTCCGTTCTGTGAGGCGTGGCGTACTCCAAACGTCAAGACCACAGGACGGACGGAATGTGTGGCGATCATCCTTTCCGGATATGCGTCAGGCTGCATCGCTCACAAATAGGGATTCCCGGAACCTTGAGGATGTGGATGTATCCTGGGAGTTGGTTCGTCATAGAATCCAGCAACTCGTACTGGAATTCTCTCCACCTCACCGCCACCGAACACACGCTATGGGCCCGTCGTTGTTTGACCGAGAACTGCGGGCGTGCCTCCGGCAGCGGAATAAAGCCTGGTCCAGGTACCGTGCAACAGGTGCAGGATATGAGGAATATCGGTGTATTCGGAATCATTGTACTACACTAAAAAAATGCAAGAGAACCAGATTCGAGGAACGACTAGCAGCGGATTCAGTACAAGCACCGAAGAGATTGTATGCCTACCTCAGGCGAAGAATCAGAGCAATGCCTGGTCTCCCGACTCTCGCCAAAGATGAGGCACTAGCCGAAAAAGATGAGGACAAAGCGGAAATGCTGGCATCACATTATGCCTCAGTGTACACCCCGGCCTCTAGCACACTGGCACATATACTGGACACTGACACTGCGCTGAAATGGGCCCCATTTANCCGACTCCCCCCCAAAGATGGAGCACTAGCCGAAAAAGATGAGGACAAAGCGGAAATGCTGGCATCACATTATGCCTCAGTGTACACCCCAGAATCCAACACACCGACACATCTACTGGACACTGACACTGCGCTGAACTGGACCCCATTTACAATCCGAGAGGTGGCCCTGGAGCTGCGTCGACTAAAGGTTCACCAGTCACTTAGACCTGATGTGTGCATCCGCTGATCCTGAAGGAGCTAGCAGATGAACTTTCAGCGCCACTGTGCAACCTTTTCAATCTGTCATTTACTCAAGGGCGTTTACCGCAGCAGTGGAAGGATGCTGTCATTGTTCCAATGCTCAAAGTTGGGGATAGGAGTGATCCTGGGAACTACCGACCAGTCAGACTTACTAGCGTCGTGGGTAAAGTAATGGACTGCACGGCTTCGGCAGCATTTGGTGTGCCACGGTCACCTGTGCCACCAACAACACGGTTTCCTGCCGGGTCGCTCATGCTTCTCAAATCTGCTACTTGCACGTGAATGCTGGACCGAGGACAAGGCCAAAGAACACGAAACGGACATCATTCTCGTAGACTTTAGCAAGGCCTTCTACAAGGTGCCGCACCACCTCCTGCGAAATCTGTTCAAACTAGGTGTAGGTGTGGTAATGCGGAATTGGCTGCAAGAGTCAAGTCAAGTCAGGTCAAGACTTCCTCATCGACCGGAAATTCTGCGTCCGTGTTGGCAAATCGCTCTCTGCGTGGTGTTCCGCTCCCAGTGGGGTCCCCCAAGGCTCGGTTGTTAATGTATTTCATGCTGAAGTTTTGAAAATCCTTCCGAACCCATAATGATTTATGGTGAAATAACTTTATCTTTGTGTTGCTCTTATATTGACATTTCTCGATCACAAACAACATTCGTCATTACTTATCTGTTAATTCGATGCCCGGCACAGTTGAATTTGGCGTGGTTTGAGAACGGGAGCGACTGTTTTCCTCTCTCTGGACATCTTATTTGGCTCGCTTGTTTGAGNTGGCCTTGGAGCTGCGTCGACTAAAGGTTCACCAGTCACCTGGACCTGATGGTGAGCATCCGCTGATCCTGAAGGAGCTTGCAGATGAACTTGTAGCGCCACTGTGCAACCTGTTCAATTTGTCATTCACTCAAGGGCGTTTACCGTGGCAGTGGAAGGACGCAGTCATTGTTCCACTTCCCAAAGTTGGGGATAGGAGTGACCCTGGGAACTACTGGCGTTGTGGGTAAAGTAATGGAGCGACTGGTGGCTGCACGGCTTCGGCAGCATTTGGTGTGCCACGGTTACCTGTGCCACCAACAACACGGTTTCCGGTCGGGTCGCTCATGCCTCTCGAATCTGCTACTTGCACGTGAATGCTGGTCCGAGGACAAGGCCAAAGGCCATCATCTTCGTGAACTTCAGCAAGGCCTTCGACA